TCCATCCGTCCATACCCCTCCCAGTGGGGTCTCCTGACCTCCTCATATCAGGCTCTTCCCGCAGGAGCCCTCGGCGAATACACTACCACTAACGGGTTTGCCCAGTAGTCACGACCTGGTCTCGGGGGGGCTCCAAGTCCATCCCCACCATCAGGGGCCCTGGTGAACAAGCACCCTGGGACTTAGACTCCGTGCTCTGGAAACACCTATTTAGTGAGTGCTAGTGGTACCGCCGGGTGGTCCCTTACATTCGACCATGCTTTTCCTGGTTCGGGCAAAGCTGCTATATTAAAAATGAACATTCTCCCCCGCCTCCTCTATTATTTCAAACCTTACCTATCCAATTGCCACCCGCCTTTTTCGCTTCATGTAGGAGAATGTGCTCCTTCTTCCTTTGGAACCACAAGCGTCCGCGCATATCTTTCTGCCAGTTGGTTCTCCCCAAATCCAGGGGTGGGATGGGCTCCCAGACCTCAGGCAAGAATATTCATTCGACTACCAAAGACTGGGTGCATCTCGAAAACTCCTTCTCTCCTTCTCCTATAGCTTCGATCCCGTGGCTCTTGACGAAACATACCCCCCAGGCCCTTCTCACTCATCCACTGATTGGTCCTACCTTGAGCATCTTCCGCTTGACATGCAAGTCGGCCTCCATCTCGGATGCCCCCAACCCTTTAACCTCCCTTTGCTTAAACCCGGACTTCCCTCCGGGTATGCACAAGGCCTTCCTGTCGGAACATTGGCCGTATGACCAGGTGAAAGCGGAACACTTTTTTCATAAAGGCCAATTGAAATCCTACTCCTCTTTGGCGAGCACCATGAAAGATCGTACCTTCCCCTTTTGGGCCTACCTTCAAATCAGGCATTTTCTCACATCCTCTGCTCACCGCCACAAATGGACTCGTCCTCTCACCCCCTTTGAATCAATTTGTTCTAAGGCTGAACCCCAGCGGCATCTAATCTCATCCATGTACCTCCTTCTCACCGGTGATGGGAATCCTAACTCGCTCCCCGCTTGCCGAGCTTGGAGGAGAGACCTTGATATAGATTTTTCTTCCTCAGATTGGGACCAAATTTTTACATACTCCCACAAATGTTCGCTGAATGTATCGACCCAAGAAAACGGATACAAGCTAGCTTCCCGTTGGTACATTACCCCTTCCAGAACTCATCGTTTTAACCCTTCTCTACCCAATAATTGTTGGAGATGTGGAGCACCTGATGGGTCCCTTCTCCATATTTGGTGGTCCTGTCCTATCGTCCTGCCCTTCTGGCAGGAAGTCCACCGTATAACCTCGTCAGTGTCCACTTTACCTCTCGATTTCTCCCCGGCCCAATTTCTCCTCCACCATACACCGCTCCCCAAACGTCTATACTTCCGATCGTTAGCTATGCATATGATTAATGCTGCTAGACTCTGTCTTCCTGTGCTTTGGAGATCTACTCAACCCCCCTCAATAAAAGATTGGTTCACTCGTCTGGGAAGAATTGCAGAGATGGAGGAGCTGATTGCTTCCTCCCAAGATAACCCGACTAAATTCTCCCATACTAGGTCGTGTTGGATTCACTTCCGAACGACCCACGAATACCACTCCATCATGGGTCTTTCTACCTGACTCTGAGCCAGACCTGTGGCTTTGTATTACACTCTGTATTGTATTGACTCCTCGACCCTTGCTAGGCTGTCGATAACACTTTTCTATTATATCCCTTTCACTGATCAGGTAGTGAGACACTCCTTTTCCCTGGTGCCCGATTGTCTGCTTTATGTCTCTATCCCCTAGGGGATGAGCACACCAGCTCTGTCCTTGGAGCTTCCACCTATATGACATGTCTATCCATACCGCCCCCCCCCCCCCTTAGTCTCCTTCCCCTTTGACCCTTACCCCCCCCCCTTTTTTTTTTTTTTTTTTTTTTTTTCTACACTTTTTTTTTTCTTCCTTCTTTGGCTTTCCAGCTTCTCGCCATTTTTTATTTTTTCTTTTCTCCCGACTCCTTCCTCATTGTGCCCTGTACCTGCCATTACTGTCTTTGCTGTTTTTCACATCTTCTCCACTTCATTTTTTCCCTTTTTTTTTCCTCTACACATACGTTTATTCCGCTGTCCATAGGCAACCTAATCTCACACCCGGATTACACTTGCACATGTGCCTTTCCCTTTCCACGGAGTTATTTTCATATGCGTTGGCTACCTTTGAGTGGTACCTTTGCTGCTCCTCATGGATAACACCGAGCTTTCTATATTTTCGCAACTTCTTCCTTGCACCAGAAGCCCAGCACCTTTAGCTTTATCCCCTTCCCCCCTACTCTGCTACTCTACGATAAAAGATATCTGGGGGTGCAAATAAATGATCCTGCTCGTTTGGTGATATTTTGTATGCTATGTGGTGATTATGATTGGTGTTTGCCTTCTTTTTTTTTTTTTTTTCGCTGTGTTCTCGTGTTTTTTTTTTCCAAGTTCAACTTCATTATTGTTACAGGTGACACGAGATGGCTTTATTATTTTGTTCGCCTGCGTATTTCTTATTGTTTGGCATGTGCGATTTGTGTTTTACCGTGTTTTTCTTTGGCACATTGTATTACATTGTACAATTTATACCATTTATATGTTTTGAATTTTTCTCAATAAACTTTGTGGAACAAAAAAATTAAAAGTGAGCACAGCTCCACCTTATTTGCCAGCATTAATTTTGCAAGCTTTTCTAGGTGAACAACCTCTACTCTGTAAGTAAACCCCTCTGTATTTACACGCAAAGCAATGTTTTCCATTTGATGACTGTTGTTAAAGTACTTGCCCTCTTATGCTATCTAAATTTTGTACGTGTTAGCATTATTACAAAACATTTTTACTGGGACATTTGTGTTTTATAAGGAAGAGAATGAGGCCCCGTAAACATGACGAGAATATCAGACGGATGATTGGTTTTTTTTTTGGGGGGGGGGGGGGTTGCATGATAGTCTCATATCGAAAGTGAGAAGGTTACTAAAATTGCGAAAATTCTTGTATGACAGAATAAAAATTTGAAAGTGATGTAATGTATTGTATTGTAATGTATTGTATTTTCGGACAAAAAGTGTACTGATTAAATGAAAATTGTACGATCTGGTATCGTACGAGAAAAATGTTCATGTTTTGTCCCTTGTCGAATAATTTCGGACAAAAGCTGTGTACTAACCATCAGATTATCTTATGATCACTTTGAAAGCGGTATTTTGCATACGATTTTCTGATCCTGTGTACTGAGCTTTAAGATCCATAGGCAATAAATGATTGGCTTCTGATCCTGACGAAAGTGGATTAGGAATAATACTTCATAGATTGTTTGTGCAAAAAGCTTTTTAGTCTCACTGATTTATGTAATTTTTAACAAACAATAGAATTTAATTTCCTTGAGATAAGAGTGGGCAAAGGGAATTTCCTGACAAAAAGGGATAGGTTGGCAAAGGCTATTTTTTTTTCTTTCTACAAAAGGCTTTTCAAAGATTCAAAACAAGTTCAGTTAAGAGTCAACAAAAGGAAAAGAAATGACAATGGCCACACTGACATTAGATTACAATGCGTACAAATGAAAGATAATGGTTAAAATAATTCTCCAAATAGTAAAATAAAATAATTCTTTGTAAGTGATCATCTATTGGAAATAGATAGTGTAAACAGTCGTTCAGAGAACAGGGTGATTAATCCACAAGAAATCCTCTGCTGATCAGAAAACAATCAGAAACAGCTACCAACTACTTCAATCACCAGCCATACACACTACGCAAAAAAATGTAAAATTATTCTGAATAAATGAACAAATCGCTTACTTCAATAGATTAAGTAAATAATTTTGTTAAAGCTGGAGACTGATATTTTTTTAGGTGTGTGGGAGGGGGGATACATCTCCAAACACATTAGTGTATATAATGGCGTGTATCCTTTTACCTGCTTCTGGTAAAAATCATCCCTGCAATATCTCCTTCCCAGCCATGGGATACTGCCCTGAGCAGCTGCCTTCTGGTGCTGTGAAGGTTAACAGCAGCCACTGTTACTAAGAAATGTTGTCCTTTCCACCCACCCCCTTCTGCTCTCTTTTCCATTCTCATATTACTACTCTCTCACAATGTATCACTCTCTGAGCAGAGGAGATCCTGTCATTCAACTGCTGCTGCTCCATTCACAGAATGTTTATACATTGTGGGAGTGTGGTAATATAAAATTTTGTGAATGGGAGAGGGAGCAGATGGGTGGCACAACTTATTTCAGTAACAGCATATACAGTCCTGTTGCAAATAACTTACACAGTTCAGCTACAGGGTGAAACTGTAAGGACATCAACTTGCACTTCATGTTTAATCTTTGAATGACATTTGGATGCTTTGAAACACTGCTGTCCTTGTATACCTTCTGACATACAGATATGATTGCCAGACAATGTTATGTGATATAACAGCAGCCATTGTCTTCCATCTGCAAGCCAAATTTGAACAAGGATAACATCACTATTCTCTAAATAAAATTATGTCACTACTCTACAAACCAAAAGATATGCAGTACTAGCATATCTCATACTTATTATAAAAATATTATATCACTTAATCATTGTAAAATTTCTCAGCAAATAAGAGTAACATATTTAGAATATATATTTTAGTAAATAATTACTATATCCTGTTTTTTGATAATTAGCTTGAACATATTACGTTACCCTTAATGGACTAAAGTTGCTGTGGGCACATCATCAGCATTCCCAAAAAAAGATTTAAAATATAAAGGTAAGGAAAAGAAGAGATGTATTTCACCCTACCTAGTGACTGCCAATAGAATGGTATTTTGCTGAAAGCCCTTGGCTATTAGAGCTTGGCTCCTGAGTGTCCATATACAAAAATAACAGATCTTGTTAGCTCAGTGGAATTGAATTCTGACACGTTATGGGTATTAAGCTTATGTGTTGAACTGTGCCACCAGCCGCTAAGCACTGTCTTAGTCAAGAATGTACATTGTGTCATCTTTCTTCCAGTAATGGGTCCATATGTCCGACGAATTTTGTGTGATGAATTAGGAGCACCTGCCAACTCTGCAGTCAACTGTGTCCCCCTTGAAGATTTTGGTGGGCAGTATCCTGACCCTAACTTAACATATGCCACTGGGCTTCTGGAGGTTATGAAGGGAGGGGAACATGGATTTGGAGCTGCATTTGATGCTGACGGAGTAAGTATTTCATGCATTCAGAGCTTGCTGCTATCTCAGCCAGCATTTTGTGTTGCTGGGACCACAGTTAGTTTCTGACATCACTACACTATTCTGGGATACATAGTAATTGCATAGTCTGGGGGAACTTCCTATATTGAAAGGCCTCCTTCACATCCTTATTAAATGTAATATATTTTTCTTTCTTTATCTATTTTTCTTTATCTATCTTTCTATCTATCTATCTATCTATCTATCTATCTATCTATCTATAACTAGTGTGTAGTGTTGCGCTGCTCCAAAAACATAAGCATGAAAACCATAACAAAAAATCCAAAACCACATATGTGAAACGTAAACGTAAAAGTCCAAAAGGAAGAAAATGAAGGAAAAAAACAACTCTTCAGCAAATCTTGATGGAAAAAAAAAAAAACACGTTTCTACTGGAGAGCGAGCCCACAATCTGTAAGTCTTCAAATAGTAAACACCATCACGGTGAACATATGATATGGGTGGACCCTCACCTTCATGTATGGACCCGTATAAGGAACAGGTCTAACAGGCATCTCCCCTCCCAGCGGGGATAAAATAAAGATCTCTCTTCTATGAATAATCCTCCCCTCATGTATGCTCACTGTATCCTCCAAAGGGACCTTTTAGTAGTATAGCTGGCTCTATAGGTGGAACTCAACAACCATATAAAGCAACCATAGTGCAGCACGTATGTTGAAACTCATTAAAAATTAATTGAAATCATATTCACATGGTAACAGTAATAAAACTGCAGTATAAAAGTAGTGGTAAAGCTGTAACAATACACTGAGCTGTGTCTCCTACTATGCTGATGGCGTTCCGGCTCTAGCGTCACCTGGCTCCTCCCCTAATGTATCGTCACGCACCACGTGACTTCATCCTCCCCTGATCGCGCACTAAAAAAACTCACATTTTGATTTGGCCCCCATAGTGTCTAGGGAGTTTGACCACCAAGCTGCCAGACAGTGGTTTCTGTATATGAAAAGAGGCTGGCTTAGCTTTGGAAAGGGGTGTTTCAGTGGTAACCAGTGCAGCCAAGGACATAGAAGGCAAATCCAATTATATATATATATATATATATATACACACTATATGATTAAAAGTTTGTGGACACCTGATAATCTCACATACTACAGTATATGGCAAAAATTATATGACATCCCCTCTTAATTATTGAGTGCAAGTCTTTCCAATGAAGGTTCTTGTTAATGTTACAGCATACAAAGAAATATTAAACAACTGGGTGCTTCCAACCTTGTGATGATAGTTTTAGGATGTGACTGTGCCCAAAGGTCAGGTCCAAAATGATATGGGTTGATGAGCTTGGAGTGGAGGAACCTGAGTTGCCTTCACAGAGCCTTGACCTCAACCCTATTGAAAATCTTTGGGATATACTCTATTGCATGCCAGACCTTCTCATTCAACATCAGTACTAGACCTCACAAGTGCTCTTTTTACTAAATGGGTCAAATTCCCACAGACACACTTTCCAGTGGAACCTGTTATAGCCTCAAAGTGTTATTCAGTTGTATATCAATGCCCATGGTTTTGGAATGGCATATTTAACAAACTCGTATATTGTAGGTGTGATGGTCAGGTGTCCAAAAACTTTTGATTACATATATATGTATATATATATATATATATATATATATATATATATTTGTGTCGGAAGTTCCAAAGTTCAACTTTAATTATGAGGAAGAGTATAGTGGTGTAGATAAAGATTCCTATTGTGGAGCTGACTGATGCAGGTGCCAGATTCTAAGCGTTTAGTGCTTATGACAGAAGGCCAACAACTATTCTCCAAATGGAAGATTAAAGGATAAGTAGCACATGAAAAGAAGCCATGTACAGGATAAAAGTTTTGCATTCTTAAAACTCTGGGTGTGCACAGTTTAACTTGGGGGAGAGAAGAAAAGATGTATTGGAGAAAGTATGAATTCCAGCTTGTATGTGGCAAGGAGGACAAATAAGAAAGCTGAAAAGCACATCACATTTGGGAGTTCCTGGGTACTGCACTGTTTTTACACTCCTAAATTGAATACAGAAAGGGAACAATTACAGCAGAAATGTCAAGTCTTTGCTTAAGGTTAACAAAAACAGGAAACACTCCTGTAGTGGCATTTCATGTTCTTCTTGGATCTATTGTACTAAGAAACACCAATTAATGCAAGTATTCATTTAAAATATTTATATGCATTTTAAAGTAGTTAGTATGTGTACGTGGATTTTGTCTTGTTATTTACCATGCTTGCAAATAATAAAAGTTCCCAAACACACACCTTAGCAAAGAAGAACTGTCTAATGTTCAAATTTTAAGAGAGGTCTTAGATGCATACAATTGTAAATATAATTGGACACTGCATTGTTGCATCAAGGAACTGGTATAACATGGAGTTCTACTCAATGGCAGTCTTACTGAAAGCAATTAGAGCAATAAGAGATGGACTTATGTAAGCACAAACCTAATTAAAAACAAACGTACCTGGGAGCTACCCCAATACTCCCTATAGTGCACACTACATAGAAAGCTCACATTTAGCAAAATGCAAATGAATACTTTGCCCATGCATGAACCACACTGGGTGTAGTAAAGGTAATGTATAACAGGACTAAAGATGTAATCAAGTATTGATAAAGACCTAATCAAGTTAAAGAAAATGGAAAAGGACCAAATAAGAGAGAGACTGACTACTTTAAATGGTTTAAACTGACTGCAGTACAATATACAGCACAAGTATTGAACCTCCATATTTAATAATGTTTTTCATAGTTATTAGATATCTCAGAATTAAAAAAGGATATGGATAAGTGAGTTAATGAGTTAGATTACTCATGTGGCAAACAATAACTTTAGTTGGACTTGAGGACAATAGTTTGTAAAAATGATGTATGAAAAATTGTTCTTTTACAAATTTTTGCCAAAATTTTGTATTTTCAAAATACACGTGATGATGCTTTGTATTATTGAAGTGGTGCTTCTAGGTACAGGAATTTTGCAAGTGTTCTGTGTACGATCATTCCATTATCTAAAAACAACTGAAGAGATATTGGGTTCAACATAAAACAGCTAAAATAAAAAAAATTGCAGCTCACACTTTCTGTTTAGGAAGCGTTGAATAACTGTAATCTTTATTAATCATGGATTTTTCTTTCTGTGTTCTGATAACTTCTTAAATAAATAAAAAAAATGGTTTTCAAAGTAAAATATCTAACTCCACAATTTTTTAGATGATGTTTGCATCAAAAAGATTTTTGGCACAAACAATCTTTTTTAGAGCAGCAAACGTTTAACTCACAATTATCCAAATACTCAGGATGCTCACCTATGTCTATGGGTAGCCTTTAAAGCAGTGCTCCATTCAAAATGTAAAAAAATAAAAGTCAGCAGCTACAAAACTGTAGCTGCTGACTTTTAAGAAATAGACACTCACCTGTCACTCGATCCAGCAGTGTCCTCACCGCAACTGGTTTCACCATCTGTCCTCTCACGCTGCCATCATAAGTGTGCGCCTTGTGAATGGTCCTTTAGTCTTCTGGGACCTGTCACATTTCCTGGATGACTACGGGGAAGGAGAACAACTTGCACTTCTGATCGCCTAGGCAATTGCAGCGGAAGTCGGAACGGGTAACTGTCAAAATCGGGCCTTAAAGTGGAACTTCTCCTTTTGGATGGAGCTCCACTTTAACCTTACATAAAGTGGAGAGAATGTGGCCTAGGAAAAAAACATCTTGCAAGAAATTTGAGGCAGTAGTGGGAATTTGCCCTATACATTTTCATCCATCAACCTAACCCTGATATACGAATCTATGAAGTTAAATCCACACAGGACGTTTTTTTTAACTCTCCTAGAAGCCTTCCCTCTGGCAGCAGCGTTTTTGCAGAAAAAGACGCCTGAAGCTTGAAAAAGTGTCTAACGCTTTTACAAGTGTTAGGTGCTTTTACAGGCATCAGGTGCCTGAGGGTTAATGCATTTAATTTGCCAGAATAATAATTTTGTCTGGCCATTGAAATGAATTAATGCTCAAGTGCTAAATGCGCCTAGCGTTAACACAAGTGTAGACGTGTTTAGACACGTTTACATGTGTCAATCGTTTTTTCTGCCAAAATACTGCTGCTCCAGGACGTACTGCCAGTGGGCTTTTTTTTTCCTGCCTCTAAAAGCTGCTGAAAGTTTATGTGTGCATGGACACAAAGGCTAACATGGCGGGGTGTTTGGAAGCAGGGAAAAAAATGCCTGACGCCCCTAAAAGCTGCAGTAAAACATTTCCTGCATGCATGAAGCCTAAGAGGGAGTCTTGAGTGACCAAAACTATTTATCAGAATCTACTCTTCCCATACAAGCTTATTTATGATCCAAGAAAAATAATACCAAAAAAGGATGCGAAGGATGATAAAGCAGGATAAGTGGCAACAACAATGTTAGTTTGGGTTATCAGTAGGATTAACGATTATATTTATTTTCAGGCTAATGAACAGATAGTGGGTTAGCTGTAAAAGTAGTCTTTATTTAGACGTGAAAGTACTGAATGTACATAAATTGGTAGTACATTTATTTGAAAGTTGATGCAATGCTGGTTAATAGCTAACAAATCATTATTACATTGCTTTAAAGAATTTCATTTATACATGTTTCAGGACAGATACATGATTTTAGGACAAAATGGATTCTTCGTGAACCCTTCTGATTCCTTAGCAGTAATTGCTGCCAACCTCTCCTGTATACCCTACTTTCGGCAAATGGGAGTTCGAGGTTTTGGGAGAAGTATGCCAACAAGTACAGCCATAGACAGGTTGGTAACCAATGCATATTGTTACAGAGATGACAAAAAAGACATATGTATTACCACAGAAGTTGCAATTATATTTATGGTTAAAAAAAGTTGCACTGTTTTGTTAACATGTACACTAATACTAATGTGGGCATCTTTATATGACCAGTGCAATTTATTATATAAAGAGTTTATTAGTATAGTATTAAGTTCTTTTAGAACAGTAGCAGAAATGTCAACATTTGTCCTGGTGCCTATGTGTCATCTAGATGATTAAAGTATACCTGTAATGAGAGAAATCTGCACACTTAATCTCTATGCTTATGCCCTTTCTGGGTGACACCTATCAGAGTGACTCCTAATCTGGGCAGACTTCCTATGATTTTGTCCTGGAACAATAAAGTTTGGTGAAGGATGATGTTATTGGAGTAAGGGAGTAAGGCCAGTTTGTTTGTTACAGGTTTTCTTTAGACAAAACTATCAACAAAAAACTAAATACATAACATAAAAAATCTAGCAACAAAAATGATCACATAGGGTAAAATTGTCTGAAATAAAGGACTTGTAAAAATATAATTCATGTTTTTTTTTAAATTTAGTAGTAGTATACAAACAGTACATGGTAAAAGGTACGAGCTGTCCATCAGTATGATTTCATCAAAGAGCTGGACATAGACTCTTGAATTGTAAAGGGTACTAGTAGTGATCTCTACTAGCCGAGAACAATGCCCCCAGTCTCTCAAAATTAACTGCAGCATGTCTCCAGTCTCCAGCCTTTAGCTCATCTGCAGTCTCTGTCCATTATTTCCTCTAGTGTGTTTGCAGTCTCTGTCTGTATTCTCTAACATAAATATGAGGGGAGGGTAAATAGCTCTTTAGGAGAACCAATTCCCAGTTTCAAAGAAATTCCCCTAAAGGGGACAAAAGCCCCCAAAAATCAATAAATCACCTTGACCTTGATAATTATCAACTGACTTTGATCACATGGGTTATTCTGGTGCTGAATGTGTCGTTTTGTTGGATTACCACTTTTATACATTCAGATGATATATGGTATATCTACATTTTGTGTCATGAGGCCTCTCCTAGCTCTTTGACCTACATATTGTTGCTCTATTTATTCAACAGGACATGTGTGTTCCTTCAATACTAGCAGATTGCTGTGTATCATAATATAGCTTCATTATATAGATTTAACTACATATGGAGGTCTAAGTGCTGATCCATTTGGGGTCATTTGGCCCAATATACAGTATATGTGCTGCACAAGGAGTGATACAGGATTGTGATTATTTTGACATTCATATTTCCATGTCTATGTGTGGCTATTTCACTGATTATCACTCAATATCTTGGAGTGTGTCTCTATGGGTGCATTATCTATGCATATAGTGATGTGCATAACAGAAGAGGTCCATCTTGCTTAACCTTGTTCTGTGAGACGCAAAATGCACCAGTTGAAGGAATATTACCCTATGTAGGCCTGGTTGATCTGTTCATTACTGTGACCCAATCTTTCATCCTGGGACTGACATATATGCAATGTCTAGCTCTACTGGGGCTCCAGCATTCATTAGGCCAATTTACTCTAGGCGTTGTCTGAGTCTGATTAATTCTTATTCCACATTATCTCATTATGTTGTTTCAATGCACTTTTATATTGGTATTCTCTATGATCTTCTTTGGATAGGAACGTATGTCTAGTCCATTTTTCTTTTGGGGTTTGTGATTTTTGTGTTCAACAATACTTTTTACGTTGAATATTTCTATAGGTTATTGTTTTTTTTTTTCTTATTGTTATATACCATTTTGATTATAGTTCTTGTTTGCCTATTGTTTGTTTGTTAGTTTAAAGTTCTTTTCAACAGTTCTTACAGGGGATATGATTGTTTTAATTATTTTTATTTAGGGAATATGGTTTAGGATTGTAGTTATGTTAGTAAAGATATATATTTTTAACTTTCTTTTTTCTTTTTGCCTATTGCCTAGAGTTTGACTTTTGATGTTTGTTTTTAGGGACACGTAAAGCTCTTTTATACCTTTCATATTTTCTAGCATTACATATACTGAATATTATGTGTGGTTCTTTAGTGATGTCAGAGGCCACAACTGTGATCCCTTATGCTTTGTAAGTTAATAACTATAGCTCTACAGTTTTGATTTACTAAAGGAATAATTTTCAATTGCTGAAATGAGCCCCAATATGTGTGTTGGGGAACTAGTATGTTTTAAAATTCCAATGCACAAGATTGGGTATTTGTAATAAACAGAGGATCATTTCACAAAAAAGAAAAAATATGGCTCAATTTCAGGGTATGTTTTTATTTATTTATCTTTTGCTTCTACTTACGGCATAAATATCCTTTATGTTAAAGGATAGAGAAGGAATCGTAAAATGCCTTGCACATTTTTATCTCCAGTACCTCATGAGAAAATGTTGTGTTATAGGTTTTAACGCCCACAATAATGCAATGCATGTCAACACATGTTACACATGTTGACACATTGCAGGGCCATTCATTTTGAACACATCATCCCAATGCACCATGGCGATGTATTTACATTACAACTCACAGCACCATAATGTGTTGAGGCAATTTTGTGACAGATCTCTCCCTGTCCCTTTGTTAACTGGTGTATGGATATTGAACTTTACAATCCAGCATCATAAAAAAAGCTCATATTTCCTCCCCTGTGGGTGGTTAAGGGTGGTGTGAGAATGTGAATTGTTTTACGGACTAAGAACAAGAGATTCCTGTGGAAGTTTGAGAGCAATTGACTTTATTAAATTGTGGACTGTGTGGATGTGGACTGTCAAATCTGGACCAGGGCCAATTTTTAAAGGCATGGGGATAAAAATATAATTTGGTTTGGTAACAGGATTATGCAGCATGTATAGTGGAGCTTTTTGAATGGGTGGAAAAACAGTAGTCCTTCATTTAGATGTTAAAGTCTCTCTCTGTGTGGATGCTTATATACAGTGTTTATGCAGATGTGGCTTTATTTATTTTTTATTTTTGATAGACTACAAGAAATCAATTTACAATGTTGTATTAAAGAATACACCAGGATAACAAATGCAGTCACAAAGTATAGACATATACAATTGTCACTGTTTACGTCAAAGCTAAAAAAATGCCTGCATTAAAAAAAGGACCAATGAACACATTCAGTGAGGTATAACAGATGTTGTTCTTTTGCTAATGGTCACAATAAAGTGGTATTAAAGTGTAATTAGATCCAGGTTATGACAAACTCTCATTACAAGCAATTTAACATACTCACAAAGCCACTAAAGAATTTGTTTTGTGTAATATACCTGGTTTATACTGCCTTCAGCTGTATCTCCTATCTTCTTTATGTCCTCATTGCAGCCTGAAATTGTATAGACCAGCTGGTGTCCTCTACTGAGCATGCTTTAATTTCAGCTCCCTTCTAAGCTCTTAATTTCCTCCTTTTTCTTATCTGTGCTGCCCACATGACTATACATGTGGGTGTATACACAATAGTAAATGATACTCCCCTCCCTCCACCCCTCCCACCCTCCTTCTCCATGTCATCCTTGCTAAACACTATGGGGGTGGGACATAGCATGCTGATTGATTACATTCGATAAGAAACTCGCAAAACAGCTTACATTTAATATAAATCAGTATTAATTACTATATATCAAATGTAATTGCTAATAACAGTAAAGTAAAAACAAGATGGAGATGCCATCTGAACAAAATGAAAGCTTGAAAGCTAGTGCCAATCATTTTTTACTTCCCCTACATCATATTAATGCAAAAAAATTACACAATTGATGTTCAATAAAGAGTTATAGGGAGCAGTTTTTTGATATTTATAATTTAATTTAAATTACTCTTCTGAAACAGTTTTTTTTTTTGTCGAATGGCACAGCACCAATCAGGGCTGTGTTGACACAGACAGTAGAGAGCATACATTAGCAGAGTAATAAAAGATCCTCCCAAGGATCTTTCCCGGCAGATGCCAAAGAACAGGGAAAGGTCTTGTGACCACACAACAGCGCTACAGAAATAAGGTACTTAGAAGATTAAAAAAAATACAGTGACATGATATATTTGATTTATGTGAATGAATTATGGCAATTAACTCTTCTCTGTTTAGTATCACTTTAAACCCAAAAGCAAACATTTGTTATATTGCAGCTTATCAATTCTTAGATGTGATGGCTGCATTAGTTTTCTTTTTGAGGTGTTCTTTCCTTTATTTTCACCTGGTGATCTGGCAGCAAGTCTGTTGCTTTTTCAATAGAAAAAGATGCACTGAAAATGTAGTAGTTAGAGGGTTGAGACAAACCATTTACCACTGACAGAGGTGCTTACACTCAGATTTTATTTATATAGATAAAATATTTATCCCAAAAGGAAAAAAAAACTGTTGCTGTAACTCCTTGTATACCTGCAGTGTGAGTTGGAGTTTGACTTCAATCTGTTAGTGTACCTAAAATCTTCTAGTGCATCTAAGACTCCCCTCCCCCTAGACCGGGGGGTAGGCAACCTTAAAGAGGTGGAGATCTACCTGAACAACATGGGAGAAGTCAAAGATCACCGGCACAGTGTCACCTCCTCACACTTGATTTAAACCTATAATTGCTGTACTACTGTGTTGCAGTCATGTACATAAATCATGCACAGAAATCATGGGTTTAAATCAAGTGGCGAGGATGCAAAATATTGCCTCCTCACCAGCTGTCAAACACAATTGGATCTCTTTTCAGTGGAGCAGCAGTGCCTGCTACACTTGTGAATGAGCTTTTAATTGCATTCGGCAGCGGCACCCTAAGGGCTCGTTCACATGTAAAGTTGATGGGTGGTAAAACCCTGCTTTTGAGTCATAATTTTACCACCCCCAATCCCTACTCCCTTTAGCTGGTGAGCAAGCAACCAAATGTATACACATGCCGCAGCAGGAATTAAACCCCCTGTTGTTTTTGTTGTGTGCTACACCTGACAATTGCAATCCATTCAAATAAATGGAGCCACTCTGCAAGCTCTCTGCAGCTGC